TGGCTCCACCGTGTGGGCTCTGGAAAATGACCATTTCAAGCCAAGCAAGAAGCAGCATCCTTCACTTTAGTTTTTAGCAGGAATGTTTGTATTGTCTATGGAGTGAAGGTAGGATAAATTGTGGGAATGTCGTTTTGAGAAATGAGAAAAATATAATGAGAATTGGAAGAATTAAAAACCTTAGTCTAGTAAAGATGTATTATCTCCACCATAAAAGTCTGAGACTACTGGTCCATGGGCTCCCTGGTCTAATGCAGTGTGGAAACTGATCTAACTGCAGGAAGGAGTTTCAAGTTGTTCTTCAAGGGTTTTCTGACATCTTCTGCAAGATATTAGTAACAGTAAAAGAGTGACAGTGTGCTACTCAAATTTACCAATGGCATATTTTTTTCCTAACACCTACTGCATATTCTGCTTACTGATGGCATGAAAAAACTGCAAAAGCATGAGTTAATATCAACCTCTGACTTAAAGAATTAGTGGCAGAATCAGTGAGATTTATTTTGAGAACTCCCATGCAGATAACATTCTGTCAATGTTCCTGTTTGTACTAGCTACAGGTGTGGTTCTTTAGGAACTGAAACCTTTCTTTTGCAAACCTGATGGCATCATTGCTTCCAACCTTCCTGTTGGATTTTCCTGTAGAGAGGCAAGATGCTGTCTCCAGGGAGATCTTAGAGTGCTCAAGAGAAGGGTTGTAATTTATTATGCCAATCTTTTTGTTTTCTAAAGCAGAGACAACTCCATCTGTATTAAGTTTGCTCTGCTGTCCTACTTGCTTTACCATCTCACTTAATGGTAATTTTCATTCTCACATATACATATATTCCTATTAACCCCTCTTTATTTGCACTCATGTTCTTCACAGTCATCCTTATTGAAAGTGAGCTATTACTTTAGACTGTGGACTTATATCTCCACTTCCTCTGTTTGAAATGCAAATTGCATTTCTTTCTTCTCCATCCTCTTTTTTTACAGAAAATTTTCCATCTTCTATGTATTTTTTCCCAAATAATTGTCTAGTGGAAGGTGTCCCTACCCATGGCAGGAAACAGTTGGAACTAGATGGTCTTTAAGGTCCAGCTCAGGCATACAATTCTACAACTATTTTGCTCATTAAAGTTCATGGAGAGTCTTGAAAGTATTCTACTACTCAGTCCAAATACAGTTACAATTTTCTATAATAGCAATACTGTGTTGGTATTATTTTCCCAGTAATATAACAAGTTCTCCATCTGTATTCAAATCTGGTTATGTGCTTTAATGTGAGTTTTTCTGTCTCTCCCTAACAAATAATTTAATTTTATTGCACTTTTTTGCAAATCAACATATACAGCAGCCATAAACAGAAAATAAGATGCTTTAAAAAATATGTTTAAAAAAATATTGAGTCTGATTTGATCTCTGATTCATCGTTGGTTGTACATTACCTCTTGGGGGAGTGAAGAATGTTATAAAAAGTTCTATTAAATTCTTGGGAGTGAGGAATCTTATAAAATATTCTATTAAAATTTTGTCCTTGAAAATAAAATAATTCCTGAATACATGCTTTGTGCTTCAGTATTGGCAAAGATAAATGCCAGAATTCATTGAGATGAAAGGCAGATAGACAAGGTGGAACACACATCATACAACTGCTCCCTTTGCTGAGACATGGGACAAAATGCCTCAGGAAGAAATAGATAATGTTCTATTTTGTCCAATTCCCTGAAAATATGAGCATTCTTCAGTGCTGATTACTCAGCAGAAAAACATCATCAAGGACATCCGGGAGCAACTTTCTTTGAGATACAGAAAAAAAGAAGATATATGTTCTTTTCATGTTGTAGTAGAAATGCAGCATCATAGCTGGTTGTATATGAGGGTCATACCAGGAATTCACAGTCCAGATACAAATTTACACATGACTAAAAGATGGTGATACTTGTTTCAGTTAGTAAAGAAAACCTTTGAAACTACAGGAATAAGATTTAAATTTTTCTAGTAATTTCTCTTGTGAGGTGTTGGAAACTAGGCAAGTTTTTGTCAAAACCTAATAGGTGGTAATCAATGTGAATCACTTGGCTCCCCTGCTGTAATTAATATACATTATACATAATAATAATACATTATTATATATTAGCATTAGTATTAGTGCCTATAATATACATTATAGGCACTAAATTCATAAGGATTATTTACGGGTTTGTTGTTTTTGTTTTTTTTTTCTCTAAGGTACATGGGGCAGCAGGATTAGAATCCACATATTCTGACTTTGTCACCAAGGTAATCAGTGCTGAGCTACACTAGTCGTCAAAGGAAGAAAGGCAATAGAACAAAACTCTGTGCACTTTATTTTTCAAGGAAAAAAAAAACTTTAAAGCATATTTTTTATGCTTTAAATCTGATGCTTTTGTGCAACAATAGTTCGAAGAGAGAATGGCATCAGAGGAGATGCATGAGGAAGCGATATAAATTTCAGACTGTATTTTCCTTTTTGCTAGCATACAAACCAAATGTTGGTTGTTGGAACCAAAACCACTATCTCAGCAGTTCATAAATTTCTACCTATTCTACCTTTCAAAAGCAGTATAGGAAACATGCAAACCAAGCGAAGTGCATTCATTCTGTCATTTGCAGGCAATTATTCTTTAACAAGTTTGTGTGCTTCAAAAGTATAAACTAATCAGGAATTTTCAGAACTATGTAATATTTCAGTTAAATTATTGATATACTTCTTGTACTAAACTCCAACAGCTAAAAAGTACTAAAATGTATGTCCCCCTTGTGTTACAAGCATATGTACCAAAGAAAGGAGCAGCAAGGTATTCTAAGTTTTTTTGCTACTCTCAGTCATCACTTAGCATAAAAACAGCAATCAATTTATTTTTTATGTAAGTCAATTTATTGATTCTCTCAAGACATACAAGCAGTTATTTCAAGTGCTGACAACTATTTTGTTTTATTGCCTCAATAACAAGAGAATAAAACACCACAGTCAATGGCTTTTAGGTTGAAAGACTCAAACCATTGTCTCAGTTACTCATGTTAAAATTTTCTCATCACCAAGATCAACTGCATATGGATATAAGAAGAAATTTTACACATAAGACATAGTACAGTAGGAAAAAATTGTTGCTTATGAGCTTTCTGTTGTAACATTTTTATGTGTTGAGAAGATTTACAGATTCAAAAGTTTAAAGAAGATCTGAAGGGCTCCTAAAATCAATACCCTTGCAAGTGCTGCACTCATAATATCAAAAGCTGATCTTCTGATAAAATTAAGGCAGTGCCAAAACATTTGTAAACAGGATTCAATCAATACTTTATCTTCTACTCACATTAACTTAGTTTTTAAAAAGAAACTGCTTTATACTAAGCAAAATACATTCCTAAAAACCTAAAATACTAACTTTCAATGGGAATTCAGCAATTCTTAGAACAATTCTAAATGAATAAAAAGGATCAAAATCTACCCTCAGTTTCATTTCTGCATTTGCACTGAATTGTGCTGGTAAGAACAGCAGAATTTGTCCAGTGTTGCCCATTCATTACTTCTGTGTTGAAACATCATTTTTCTAGTAAAGGTGGAAAGTGAAATAGTTAAGGAGGACTGGGAAATGCCTATTCCAGCCATTTATAGCCCTGTTTTTTCAGACTTTGACATAAATGCTGCTGCGAACATGTTTGTGAACACCTCCAGAAGAACACCCACTGCTACCTAGAGTAGTAGTTCCTGTGAGTCACAGGAACACAAAGAACCCAGAAGCTGCCTGTGCAGTGGGGTTCATGCACCACCTTTGACCATCCAATCTCCTGTATGTCCAATACTGAATAATCACCTGGGTGTTGAATGTAATGTAGATCTTTATTCACATGATCTGTATGTGGGTTCAATAGTACTTGTACACTGAAATGATAAAGTTTATGAGATGAAGGACAGGGGAAGTTGATATAGATGTTTCTGTCTGCCAGTGATTTCTTGCTTGGATCATATTTGAAAGCTGATGTGTCTCCCCGGAAAGGAATTGAGCCAAACAGAATCCACTTCTATTCTCCAGCTACAAAGTCAAATAAACAAACACTTAGGTGACTTAATCTGGGTTTTTCGGTAGTGGGGATGGCAAAGGACACATATGAATCATCCAGAAATATCCTTTCCATATACAACAAAATCCCTAACAGGTGAAACCATTATGGTGTCAAATACAAGAAGCAGGCAGAATATCAAAAATCCATCATTCTGGGAGATAACAGAGAGCAGCAGAAGAAAGACACTTTCCCCTCAGCAATACCAAAGCTGATATACTAAATGCAAGGCAATATGAAACCAGCAGGACTCTACACTGGACGGGTGAAGTAACAGAACCAGTGAAAGAAGAAAAGATCAACAATGGCAGTAGCAGGATATGGTGAAGACAGCAAATACTGAAATGACAACAAGGTCTCTTCTTCACACAGAAACAGAGTATGAATGATTTTACTCTCAGAATACTAATCTAATCTTAGATAAAAAAACTATGAACAAGACAGGGAAGGGAGAACCTCGTATGTTAAAGGGGTACTTGGTACTTATTCTTTGGATGTTTCCTTTGAGGATGGGGTGTCTGAGCAACACCACATTGTAGAGACAGGCATTTCCCTCCTGTTCATCTACTGCTACTTCTGCTTTCCTGAAATACTGGTTCATTTTTTTTGCCTTATATATTTCTTTTGAAGTTAATTTTAAATATTGAAACTGAGACTATTTTTCTTACAAGATCACAAGGCAGAGAAGTGACCATAAATGCTCAGGCATTTGTGGTCAAGAATCATTACTTCTACCATTTGCACATTATGCTTAGCATTTGCATACAGTATTTTTCTGCTTTTAAAAATAGATTCACTTTTACCACTCAGAATTTCAAACTGAGAAACACAGACCTGGATCCAGAGGAAAAGCAGTAGACAGCAAAAACTAACTACACTTTTGTATTGTAGGGATTTTCTCACTCAGGTTCAGCAGAGTGAGACTTGAGATTTTACTTGAATGAGGCTCTCACTATCCTGCCCTTCAGGGGCTGTGGCGGGCGCCAGTTGTCAACAAGAGGGCTCATGGGTTCATTCTCAGCGTTCTTGGAAAGGCTACGGAGCTTTGCCATCTGCAAGGAAGAAAAGATCAAGTGTCCATGTGGAAGAACTGCAGACCTTACTGCCTAGAACAAACTGAGATGAGAAAGGAATTTTCTTGTGTAGTGACAAGCACACAATGACAATGTCAGTCTCTAATAATACAGAGATTACTGATAAAAACTGCTGCAGCCCAGGAGCTTGCACAGTTTCTGTGGATCTTCACACTTTTCATCCACAGAACAGTTCATCATCTGACCCTTGCCTGGGCTTCTTTTGGTTTTTCCTCTGATTCACACCCATGGTGTGGAAGAAGATTAGGGCCCTGCTGTGACCCATCTGGAGATGGACACCTTGTGAAAATACAACTAATCTGTGAAGGAGGATCTAGACTGATGTCAGTGCAAAGCAGTGATAGAAAAAGCTGGTGCTGAAGTTTCTATTTTGGTCTGTAAGGCAGAGATATGCCAACTGGGTTATTAAACTGAATAATGAATTCATCACTCAGCTGCTGTTATTCAAATTAACTTAATTTCAGTGTTGCTTTGTTAATAGTTACCCTTTCATCCAAATGCAAAATAAATCTGTTTTGAAAACAGCCGTTTCAGTAGAAAGAATATACCCTGACTTGTATTGCTGAAGCAGAAATTGGTATAAATAGCCAAAGTTTCTGACACAAGATCTAAAAATGTCACCTTATCTAGATAGGCTTTTTTTTTCCCTCTATAAATGCACATTTGAGCTATGTGAATGCAAGTGGTACATTATTCTGTATGAATGTTCAGGTTTGTAGGTTGTAGGTTGTTTGATCTTTCTCATTGACAGCTTTTAATAAGTCAAGGTCTGGACCAGGAAACTATTAGTCTCACTCTCCACTTAATTGTAAAGCACATAGAATGAACTGAGGCTTCCACGATGGTTGAATTTTGTGGCTCAGGGGCACTTCTACCTCAGCAGATTTTCTGGATCCCAAGAACAACACTGCTGAGGTTGTTCCAGGAAGTGTCCTAGAAGAGCACCTGATTCTCAGGGTCAGTTTTACAGCTCATTTCAACAGTGCATTCTGCAGGCAGTTTCTCACTGCCCACAGCTAAAACTTTCCCTACTGAAAAGTGCAAGGTAACACAGGGCTTGCAAATCATTGCCCTGACATCCTGAGCCACTGCTGAGAACTGGTAAAGGAGCAGCAGAAATGGCTGGAGTTTACCTGGTCTGAGCTGACTTCAATCGGCTCCCGCAGGAGAATCCAAGTGATGCACTCCTCACAGGGGGGTGTGGTGAAAGAACCGTGGTAGGTCCAGTAGTCACGAGATTTGGGGAAAAGAATTGAAGGGTCAAAATGTTGAAAAGGAGCCTCCTTCCCCTTAGGGAAACAAAAAAAAAAAAAATCTCTGCAGTAACTCCAGAGAGCTGCATCCTAAACGTCATCAGTATAGATGTTTTAATAAAGGAAACAATTAAATACCAAGATTCATGCAAGAAATCAATATCCTTTTCTTCCTGTGAAGCACTTTCCCAGCAATTAATAAAAACGGACATTTTGATTGCATTAATAAATTAAAAGAAATTAAAACTGAATATTCTTCTATTCTGGAATTATCAAAATTGTGTTTTATTTTGGGCCATTGGATAAAAATTAAAGCCTGTGGCACTGCTGGTACTGTTACTCTTTTTATCCTACAGGATAGTGGCTAGGCATTTATCCCAGATTCATTACAGTCTTCTATCTGGAGGAATTTAAATCTGCATCTCTCTCCTCCCAAGATTGTGCTCTAATTATATATTCATGGTGACACTCTCAGGCTTTTTGTTGGTGCTATTGCACTTAGTAAAAAATTAAAATATTTCCTGTAAGAGTACTGGGTCCTAAATATCTTAAAACTCAGGGTTATTACCAAAAGACAAGGGAGAAAGCAGACATCAGACAAAATTTCCTGGTAAGTCTGCCACCAAATATGATTGTAACTCCACAGGACTCTGATGAATGTTGCCCTCTGGGCAATAAAAACTAACCAAGGAAATGCAGTTCATTTCTCTATTGGTATTTTGGATTTCCTTCTGGGAAGGAAGATATATTTTTCCTATTTTCTTCTTCTATCATGGATAATCTTCTCTAGATTAGAACAAAGTGGCAGAAGCTGAAATAGTTTCTACACATCCTTGCACAAATTAAGAGTAGAAAGAGTAACTCCAATTGTATCTTCCTGGAAAGATTATTCTGCAAGTTCAACATGAATTTGCAAATAAATTCACAATATTGTGCTTTTTCAGTAAATACAGTACAGTGACCGGGAAACTCCTCTGCCTGTAATGCATCAGTGCAATTGAAACTTCATGTGTGATAATTATACCAGTGATACCACCTGTTAATCTTTCTGAAAAATAATTAATTTTGGGAAAATATCTGTGATGACAGAAAAGAAAAAGAGATGAAATACAACATGTGGTTCTTTGCATATGCACTTATCTTTCTCTGCTTTACTTCAACTGTTGCTTTTTTCCAGAACTACTACATGTAAATGGCCAAAAAAAATGATATAGGCGTTATGAGAAAAAGCCAGCAAAAGAGATACCATTGACACATCAAAGCAGGGGCATGAATAGGGTGGAAAAATAACCTTCAGTTGCCTTAGAAGAAAGAACTTAATTGCATTTGAAAACTGAGTTGGAAAAAAATAAAATTAATATGACTCTTACAAAGGAGAGAAGAGCTGTCAGGTTCAGACCTGCACATCAATGGCAGTACACACATATATATATATTAAATGCAAGGAATTCTGGTAGATTTGCAAGAAAATGCCTACAAATTTGGTGGTCTGGTGGCATGTTCAAAATGAAATTAAAAAAAAATAACCAAAACCGCATCAACTTTTAGCATAATTAGAATCATAAAGTTTACAATGAAGTAGAATTGCTAAGGTATATCTAGAGATTAAGTTTATTGTAAATCATAATGCAAAATGCCAATAGATGCAATATTACAGTTCTCTGCGAATAACTCCCTTCAGCAGCTGTATCTGTGCAATAGGTATGGACTGGTGCCTTAGATCATTAACTAAACTGAAAAACAATTTAGAATACATTTGCAATGCTATTTCTCCTGGTATCATAGGGAGAACTTAGGACTGGGGCAGAAACTGCACCATTTAATTCCCTTTATAAATACAGTTTCTTCTTAAAACTAATAACATTTTTAATCTCCCTTAACACTGATTGATAGCCTGCTCCATCATTGCTACTATTTTCTTCTCATTTTAGGCAAACTAAATTTCTAACTCTGCTATGTGCATTTTTTTTGCCCACTGTTGTCTTCAAAAAGCTTTTAATTTCTTTTTGGTATTGGCTCACTGGCATATTTTTTACAGAGCAGAACCAATAAGACCTGCAGGACCAATTGTGTATGCAATGATTGATAAAAAAATCATGTTCAACCAGAATACTTACAGAAGTGAGGAGTTAAATATTTAATTAAGCAAAAGAAAGTATCATGCTCCACAGTCCAATGTATATCATCTCTGGTGCTACTGTTTGGCATCAAAATGATGCCAAAATATGCATCTGAACCACTGGTTCCTGTTTCTGTGGCTTTCCAGCTACATTATATCACAGAAAATTGTTTTAATACCTTGGTTTTAATATTTTCAATTTCTTCAAGAATTCTCTTCATCTCTGGTTTGGGAGTGTTTCCAACCTGTAATGCAAAGCACAAATACTCTATCTTTTTCATCGTGTTCCACGGTATTTGAAAGAAATTCATCCCACCCCTTCTGTCACATTAGAAAATAGCAGTCTCAGAGAATCCAGTAGGGACTGACAGAAAATTATATATGTTCAAAGAACATCCCAAATAGCAGACTCCAGTAGCTGGCTTTGCAATTTGAATGTGTGTTGAAGGACTCTAGAAGGCATCACACCTGTTTGAGGAATGGACTGCACACTCAGTGGCACTAACCAGGGCTTAGCCCTTGGCTCCTCATTCAAAAGCAAGCCACTGTGGGATGTCTGAGAATTTGGCAAAGTCTTGACGGCCTGAAGGGATGTAGTTCCTGCAGACACTTCATTCTGCAGCACACACACAGTCAGATCAGACTTGATGTAAGAGATGTGATGAATTCATGTCTAGATGACCTAGAGCTATGGGGTCACTTTATTGCCTGTGTTCATGACATTTAGCATTTACAAAAGCTTTGATATCCCCGAAGAGTAAAAGCAGTATGGGTAAGATGTTCAGTTATTGCCATGTCTTGTTCTAAAATAAATTAACTTCAATTCCTCAGAAGATAATTCAATCCTGTTTTAGTAGTATCCCAAAACCCAGTAATGGAACATGACAAATTCAGAGAAAAACAACAGCTCCTTCATCAAAGAGCAAGAAGGAAACAGGGAAAGAGAGCCAAAGAAGACAATGATACTCCTTACTTTTCTAGACCTTTTAGCTGACTTTAGCATGGTTAATAGAGATATAGTGGTGTGCTTTTTAAGTTATGTTTGACAACATAAAACTTTAGACTAAAATAGACCAAAATGAATGACAAAAGAATAATTGAAGGGAGAATCTGGACAGGTGCTGACCTTCAATTTAGACTAACCACAAGAGAAAAGGTCAGGTTGGCACACAGTGTAATAGAATTAAAATGACACTTCATCTAGTCTGTCCAGGGATACTGTAGCACAATTAATTACATCCACTTGCTTTTGCTTGTACAAATGCCACTTACTAGTGATAAAACAGTAAAAGGACACTCATTCCCTGATGGTGTGTTCAAGCTGAAATGCCCACCTGATGCTAAAAGGACTGTAGTTTCTGTAATTTATCACTGTTAGGCTGTGTGCCTGCTAGCATTTCTCGATGTCCTAGACCACATACAGATCTGATACAAGGATTACTTTCTTTCTGTTGAGTTTATAAAAAAATCAATCTGAAAATACTGCTACAATTGTTTAAAAGTTTCTGTATTTTAAGGTTAGAATGTTGAGTGGTCTTGGTCATCTTCTACCATCAATTCTTTCTTTTTGGAGTAGGTTCATCGAACTCCTTTTGATTCCCAACTTGTGTGGGAATCAACAAGAGACTAGAGAAGGGAATCAGTCAACTTGCTGATGGGCAGATACAACACCTGCTAGCAGAAAAGAGACACAAAAGACAAGAGGAAACAGCCTATGCAGACCCACCTCCTCACCCAGTGTACACCACAGGACAGGACTGCAGTGCAGGAAAAAACAATGGTAACTTTTCCCCTGGCACTAAAGAGGGAAAAATACAAAAACTTACAAAGTCTGAATATTTGCCACTTACTTTGAGAAAAATGCCCACAACAGCTACACCATCAGGTTGTTTTAAAGCTCCAGCAAAATTACCGTGTTTTGGATTCCAGTGCACCATATGTAACTAAAATCATAATTAGAAATCAATTAACTAAAAAACAATTAAACCTCAATTATAAACAGAAATTAAAAAAGAAATTATCAACAGCACAATCTTAATTTTAAATTAAATTAAGAAAAGATTCTGGTACAGAGTAAGTAAAGAAATGGATACAAAAAAGAAAACTCTATGTAAGTATTTCTTACTGCTGTTCCCATGCTTTTATATTCTCATGCTTTCCATAAAGCATTGCTTTGCATTTAATTGAAGCATAGGAAAAGGGAGTTTATCACACAATATCAGACAATGCAACTATAAATAGATTAATCCAAGCACATGACATGCATACATGCAGTACATTAAACACCTATTGACATGCCTTTCATCTCTAGTACATGTTTAGGTCTTCAGGTTATGCAGATGTCAGCTCAGGGATTTACACTGGGTTTTATGTAATGCATATGTTATTGGTTTGTGTCTCTTACTACTCTCAGCGCATTGTGTTGGAAGGGAGTGGGGATATAATCTAACATTTTTTTTCTCATATCTACTTTAAACAGTGCCATATTCTCAAGTACAGGATATATTTCAAATTTTTGCATCCCTGTCCAGAAAATCTCTGCTTCATGCCTACAGCTACAAATGCTGCAACCAGCAGTATGCAATCGCAGATTCTTAAAGTAACAAAAAATATAATTTGTCCTGAATATTAATGAATCTTTTGTTCTCTGTTTCTTTTCTCTTGAGGATAAGGATTTTAATGCTAAGGATAAAGCTGGAGCAGCCATGTATCTTTGTTTGCAATGTAGCTAAATTACATATATTCCAGGCTTTCTTCTTCCATCAGTGAGTATTGCTAACAAAAGTAACATAAAAAGTCTGTGCTTGAACTAGCCAAGAAATAGTTTGAGGAAGTAAATTTATTCTTTTTTTGTTGACCAGAGAAAACAGAATACTAGCAAAGACTAGCTGTGGTTAAGGAATGGGAAAAAAAATCCTAAGCCACCACCTGCAGTCCTCTCTGCAATGTCTATGCACATTGACCCTGAAAATCTGCCTCAGTTTTGTCCTGTGAGAGGTGGGCAAAGCTTCTCCAAGCTCTGGGCCTTGAGTGTAGGTGAAAGGCAGGAAAACACTACTGCAGGATTTTTGTGAGCATAGGTATGTATTTTGAGCCTATTCTCAAATAAGATGGAGGAAGGAGGCAGCCTTAACTAGCAAGCTACCCTCTACCATCAATAGTTAATTTACTTATATTTAGGGCCTGAAAAAGTCTTCAGGGTCTAAAATATTCATGAATTTTAACAAACTAGGACAACAGCCCTGCAGTGGTTTACATCTAAAAAAAAAAATCAAATAAACAAACCCAAACATTATATTTTCTGTGGTTCCTGAAAATAAACCCAGATATTTTAAAGCAGACATGTTCAGCAACTAAAACATACTCTGAATCAGTTTTAAGATTAATCTAATTTTGAATGTCAGTTTATCAAATGTGCTTTTAGTGAGTTTTTCTATTCTTTTTGAAGCTAATTTGGTAACTCAAGCTATACCAGAAATGACTAAAAGCCAAAAAAACTTCAGCAGCTCTTCCTGTTTGGAAGTAACAGATTGCTTTGTCGCAAATATTTTTGAAACATTCTAAGATACCAGCAAAAACTCTGAAAAGAAATCCGTGTTAGCGGATACTTGCAGGGGACACGTGTTGGCAGATGCAGCTTATCCCACTGCATGTTAAGCAGCATCCAAAAGTTTCACCGGCGGAGAAAAGCCGGTAGCTCAATACTTCCAAGAGGGATAATGGTTAGCGCGTTCAGATGCGAGTCAGCGGGATTGCGGCCAGCCTGCGTCCCGAGCCCGCCCGTCCTACCTCCGCCGCGTACTTGACGCCGTCGATGGCGTGCTCGGAGCCGTGCTGGTCGCTGGAGCCCCAGTGCAGGTGCAGCTGCCGCAGGCGGTACGCGCCGCTCAGCGGGCCCCCCCTCAGCACTGCGGGGACACGGCGTCAGCCCCGCCCCGCCCCGCGGCTCCCCTCCTGCAGCCAGCCCAGCGCCAGCCGCCCGCAGCGCCCGCCAGCTCCGTTCCATGGGGATGCTGCGGAGGCTGCTCTGGGACAAGCACAGCTACACCCCAGCTGCCCAGCAAGCCCTTTGCTCCTGGCAAGCGGACGCACTACAGTTCCGGGTATGGAGAGACAAGGGAGGGTATTCACAGGTGGTTCTCGTCAAGAAAGGGTCTGTTTTAAAAAGATTGGCATTAGGGCTGTTAAATTAGCCAAAAGGTGCTTCAAAAAGTATCTCCCGTCCATGCCTTTTACAGGTCACCTTGTGCTGCCCAAGGTATATCCATTAAAGCCTTCTAATAAATACCTACTTTATTCTGTAGCTCTGTCTGGTCTCCGTTCTAGGTCAGCCTTCACAAGGTATCAAGACAACTAAACAATGGTTACAGATAGCTGCTTCCAAAAAATATTAAAATTTTTTATATTATCTATTTCTTGGAAGTGAGGGAAAACAATAAAGTTTGGGTCAAATGAGTTGGAGAATTGTTCTTGAGTCACCAACAAGGGAAACTAAGAAGCTGTTACTTCTGCTGTGCTTAGCCAAATAATGCTGACCATGCATCAGTCTGACAGTTGACATCAACTCTGACTTTCAAAACATCACACCTGCTCTTTCAGCCTGGAGATTCTTTTGAGCAGGGACTGCTTAGAGGATAAGCTCTCAAATGTATTTTCATTCATTACCTAAGGTTGGAATGAGTCGTGTTTCCTTACACAGAAAGCTGATAATGTAGTTCACAACTGCAGTGCCAGAAGGCCTTTTTTAAATAGCATTCAAGTTTGAACTTCTACCAATAGCTTTGAAGTTCAAAGTTAACATTGAAATCCTCTTTTGCCCAATGGTCTCAAATGAATTCTTGATATTCTACAAGTTGGGATACCTACACAGAGCAAAAGGTTTAACTTTGCAATTTCTCTTTTTAGTTGGTAGGTGTCACAACCATCAAGGGGAGGGCCAGAAGAAAAGGACTGTTGAGATTTAAGCATGTAGTTCCTCTTACTTTTTTACTTTGTTCATATATAAATAATCATAACTCAGTATAGTATTGAGTAATATTGAGTAAACCTTCTGTAGAAGACTTCAATGGAAAAATTATTATTGCTATTATTATTATTATTATTATTTCACCTTCAAATATAGGACCAAAAATGGCATAGAATCTAAGGCCCAACTCCTCAAAAGTATTTGGTTGCCATTTCACATTGGAATCAATGGGATGCAGGAGCTGAATTTATATTATCTACCTACATTTACAAGCTGAATCAGTGTCAGATTTGTAAATTCATTTACCATTCATTTCTTAAAGATGGCCCTTCCCAGAGCTAAAATACTGTGAAGCACTTGAAAACAGCACTGCATAACAGTATACAAATCTCTCTAGCATAAAACCAAATCTTTTTGACATTCAAAATTTTTCACGATTGGAAAAAAAACTTCAACTATATTTCTTTTTCCAATTAAAATGGGATCTGTGACTACTACTTATCCTCATCTCTTAACACTGCAGAAGCCAACAAATGAAGGTAATAAAAATGTCTACAAAATTTTTCCTCGTGGTCTTTCAGAACTGTCAAGTACTGTATTTGATTCTGATCAGACATGTGCCTATGAAACACTTGAGTCCTAAGTTACTGTCCAGCAACCTGCAGAAAGTAAGGGAAGCCAGGAGTGACTGCACACACTGAAACAACAGAGGTGATTGGGAGGGGAGAGACAGGGAGGAAATGGAGGAAGATGATTTATGGGAAGCGCTGCACCAAGGGCTGCATTTGGTTTCACCAAATTGGGATCTTTCTCCAATACTGTTCCCTAGACAGAAAACCTCTTGAGCAGCCTAAAAAATTTCAGCCTTTAGGAAGCAGTAAAGAAGATGGAACAGAACCACCATGTGAAAATGTTCATTACCAATTTCCTTCCCAAGCTTTCAGTCGTGGCATTCATTTTATGCAGAGGTTTTGGAAGTGCATTCTGGCTTTTAAACAGAGCTTGTTACAAGGGCAGATGGTGATAGGGCAAGGAAGAATGGCTTCAAACTGAAAGGGAGTATGGTTACATTGGATATTAGGAAGTTTTTTACTGTGAGGTTGGTGAGGCACTGGAACAGGTTGCCTGAAGAAGCTGTGGATGCTCCATCCCTGGAAATGTTCAAAATCAGGTTGGATGTATCTTTCGTAACTTGGTCTAGTGGAAGGTGGTGATAAGGGTATGATTGGAACTAGATGATCATTAAGATCATCTTTCAATCCCAACCATTCTGTGTTTCTATGGTAATAAAAGTGCAATTTATGAGACCGTTGTGTAGAAACTGTGGTAATAAATATTAAAGAACCATAAAAATACGTAATGTAGAGACAGTCCTGGTCCTAAATAGTTGAGATTCCATCTGGGAGACATGGAACAATAACAAGTAGCTGTAGTGATAAATAAAGAAATCCAAAAAACAAAGGACAAAAAAAAACAAAGCAGGAAAATGATCTTTCAATGTACTGTCGATATAGTTCATTAGAGATATAGTTTACTAAAAACAAAATCTCAATACAAGTGCCATCAAAACAGATGCACAGAAATACAAAGGAAAGTAACTGTTTTCCATTGATTAGATTGCTTTCCTTCTTGATGAAGGACCAATCAATACTTCATGCTTTTGAGATGTCTTTGCACTATATGATATTGTGAATTTAATATTCATTTTGACAGTTGTTGCCTATCTGCGTCCAGATCTAGAGCTCTGCAATCAAGTTTTGAACAATTTAATTTAGAGCTATGAGATTGCTCACTCTCAATTAAATAACAAAGCCATTTCATCGTTTTCCAGAAACTATAAAATGCTATTTACATAAAGTCTATTTTCATAACTTTTTCAGGCTCTGAAGTACCTGAAGAATTACCATGTAGAAGAAATCAAGATCACGGTCAGTGGAAATATATATACAAGTTTTTGGTTTACAAAGTGTCTCAGAGCATTCTAAACCCCTCTGGGGACCTCACACTTGCACCTTACACTGGGTAACTCTTGTCCCTTACACAAAACCTGAAGATGTGCTGTGTTGAAGGAGGTGACATAGGGAGAAGTCCACCATCCAGGTGAGTCTGTATTTCAGGGGTTCCTCTGCAGCTAACAGCCTTTCTATCCTGCTTCAGACCCACCTGAACAAACTCCCGGAGCACCGTTTCTACCTTCCCAAGTGACTTTTCTCTGCTGGCCTGCACAGGCAGGATACTAAAGGATGCTTTTTGATACCCGGCGCTTTGCGAACCTTGATTCCTAACAACCCTCAAAAAATACAAACCGACCTGATCGATCAAAAGTGTCGTCGAAGACGACGCGGCAGGTGCGCCCGTTGTTCAGGATGGTTTTCGCTGCCCCGGGGTCATAGCTGGCGTGCCAGGAGGCGAGAGAGGAGTCGTGCTGCACCTCCTTGCTGTTGATCTCAATGGGCGACTGCTTGTCGCCCTTGGCCAGCGGGTAGTTTTCGTGCCAGCGCTCGGGTCCTGAGGGACAAAACAAAGGAAGGTCGCCCCTGCTCAGCCGGGCTCCCGCCGGTCGCGGTGCCCCAGCCGCTCACCGTTGTCGCTGTCGTAGCCCCACACGGACTGGGCCATGCCGCCGTCCCGCCCGGCGCTCCCTCCCTTCTCCCGGCCCGGGGCTTTTATAGAGCGCCGCGGCTCCGAGTCCTGCCCGCAGGGCTGGGCAGGGCAGGGCCGGGGGCGGCCGCGGGGCACGGCCTGCTCGCTCTCCCCCGGAGGAGGCAGGGGATGCCGGCCGGGGCCCGCGGCTCCCTGCATCCCCGCCCCGCAGCCCCGGGGCCGCGGGAGAGGCTGCCTGGAGCGCCCAGCGGCTGCTCCGGCGCCGGGAGCGGACGGGGGAGCTCGATTCTCTCCCTGGGCAGCGCCGCGGGCGTGGAGCACCCCCGGTGATTCTGGACGGGCTCCCAGCGCGGGCAGGCACCCACTGCCGCTTCCCCGCTTTCTCAAATGCTCCCATGCCACAGCTCGGAAAGGCCCCGTGTCTGCCCGAAAGGATAGCTCACAGCCTGCAAAACCACTGAGCAAAGGGAGACTGCCAGCCCCAAAGGAGGCTGTTGCTGACCATTGGCTCAAGTTTGGGTTTGATGTTGTGCAGTCAGTTCTTCATGCAGGGAGCTTTACACCAAATACATTTCTCACGTTAGGCAACTTAGCAGTGGGTATTTTAGTCAGGGGAGCATTCAGATGATGGGGAATTAGCAACAGTATGGTTGTGTTAGTTGGCTTTGTCTGCACATCTGTTTTGGATACTCAGAACTTTTCTCTTAAATGCCAGCTTTGCTGCGATCTCCCACAGCTTTGTCAGTCCCTGCTAACACTGCAGCAACTCTGTCTACCTTGAGCTAAAACCTCAAGCTACATAACTCAAACTAAATACTATTCCAAGATAAATATCCGAGAGTCAGTCAAGAAGAATCACAAACCATGGAGATTTCCAAACATGTGCAGTGAACTTGTTCAAATGCTCCTTATACCTTTCAGCACAGTAATGCAACATGGAAATAAATCTGCATCTTTGAGAGGTTCTACCCTCTGTGTTGGTGAGGTACAGGAAAAAAGTTGAGAAGCTGCAATATACAGAGCTCAGGACTAATTTGGTCCTATCTGATGTCCCCAAACCATCTAGAAGATAAAGATTCCTCTTCTACTTGTGCTGTGTAGCTAGTCTAATAAATATCTAAATATGGACTTGGTTTAACATAACTAAAATTACTTTATTACATTGTGTAGTAAATTCTTTTTGCTCTGAGTATAATCTAAGTAGAGGTACTTAGTCCTTTGAGACACAGAAAGGACAAGATGTCTCACTTAGGAATCTGCATTTGAGAAAATTTCTGTAGTGATGTAGATAGTATTTTTACATAGGGAAGATACATCAAATTAAAACTCAATTAACCTTAGCAACTTACACAATACTGTAAGAAGCATCCTTTTACTCTCTTTAAAGGAACAGAGATGCATTCATCATCAAAGTATCCTTCAAAACATGTAGTTCCTCATATCTTCTTTAGGCAGAATTCAATTAAGAATATACAAGGAGGTGACAGGTACAATGGTATGGAAGGATATATCTTTTTGCTTTCAAAAGAGAACTCTGGGGCAAAAGAAAAAGCATTTTTTTTTACTCTGCCATCAATCAAATGCATAATGTCACATTTGTTGGAAGGCCAGGCATGTAAAATTGACACCTGTTGCAATTTTAATTCAGAAATCTCAGGCATTAATCCTTTTGAATTGATTTCTACTTTATCTATCTAGAGAGAAACACTTGTGAGCTCATGGAATTCTAATTGAAGCAGCTCATTTTCTGTCTGTATAAGCAGACAGCTTTAGTGGCCTTGTTCATGGAAGTCTCAGAGAGACTTTTTATCAACTTCATACACATAAAGAATGCTCATTGGAGCCCTTTGAGGGACATAATTTGTATTACAGATAAAAAAGTGCAAGTCAGTTCTTCCCTTAGTATTTAAATTCATTGCTCTATGTGAGAATTTTTACAATTTCCTTTATTAAAGAACCCCATCCAACCGTGAAAGTCTTCATATCTTAGCTTTCCATTGAGCTGGTCCTGTTGCACGCAGAGGAGCATCTTTTTGTCAGCTTCTGTACGTTGTGCCTTCCAGGCAGTAACTTACACACAAGTGACAAATGAAGGTACTTGGAGCCAGCCCCAGGCACTGAGTCATCCCACAGTGTCTCACCGACTGCTTTCTTTTCCTGTTGCTTTCCTCATCAAAGGAAGAGCAAAAAGCAAATGTAGTAGCACTATCTGCCTTAAGAGATAATCAGAATAACATTATTCTTGCATTCCTCAGGATCTACCTTTATTCTTTTCTTTTGATATTGTTTCAAAATTCATTATCAGCTAACTTGTAAAAAAATTACTTTTTTCAGGAAATGAACAGTTCTGTTAGAGAAATGCCATTTTAATTAAGAAAAGGTCACACCTTCAAATATTTAAGAGGAATGGTATTATTTAGTGCATTCACAACTTTATTGCAGTGATTTCTTTCTATTTTGTGAACTTCGGACATATAAAAGCCATCAGCCATCTGAAATAGCAAAGGCAAGAGCATAACAAGATCAATCTACATCATTTATGAAGAAGTTCAGGATTTCAGTAATTGCAGGCATGGTCTTGCCCAAAACTGGCACCCAGTCACAGAATCACAGTTGGGCACCTGATGATAATTCAAAAGATTATCAAAATAAGTAAAACATGGTGGTCCTGTTGGATATCTAACACATAAGATGCTCTTCAGGGGGTTCTACATTTGTTACCTAAATGAAAGATTGAAACAGAGGCTCCAGTGCAAATAACATGCTATACCTGTGGAACACCATCTGTTGGATGTGCAGTTCAGGTGCTGCATCTGCTTCTGCTAAACAAGCAAACAGCATAACCATGCTCATCTCACTTACAAAAATACCTTACCTGAAGTCATAGAGACTTTCTTTTTTGAGAGTGGAAAGAAGGAAAAAGCAGTCTGGAAAATGGCTCAGAGCCATGGCTATACCCAGAGCACAGAAAGCACATACAGGAGAATGATGCATGGAAAAGTGACTGGCAGCAGTTTTGAGCTCTGCCAGCCATAACTGATTTGGCCAATACCTTGAAATAACTAGAGCAACCAAAATACTGCTTCACTTCAGCATGCCAATTTCCAGCTGTCTCCAGGAGCCAGCATTAGAGCTAGGAATGGCTGACTGTGAGGGGACACACAGAGGTAAATATGCCAGCAGCATGTAATTCCCGAATGCCTCTGCTCAAAGGTAAGGTTTTCCAAGTTTCACCATGCTCAGGGATATTTCCCATGGGTGATTTCATGCAAAGGGTTTTGCTGGAGCACAGAGTGTGCCCACATTGAGTACACTATTAAATGAGCAAAAGCATTTATTCAGTGCCTGTGGCCAATCTAAATATAAAATGTATTCTACTATATTTAATAGATTGCGGAAGAAAACAATACAACAAAAAGGAATATGATAACACACAGTATGGAAGGGGCAGCAGTGTTTTTGACATATTGCACATTGCATGCCAGGCAGTACAAGAAAAGCATGTCACTCAGTGGTTTTGATTTAGGGATGCCATGGTGGCATGCCATAGCCAAAAAAGCCAAATTGTCATATGCCTCCACTGAGATGCCATGCTATGGAAAACATTGTAGGAATGAATGAATGGAAACCCCTATTGACAGCCAGATCTTACTGGAAGATCTGCCAAAGGAAAATAAGAAGCATATTGGGTTGATTTTGCTGGTTTTATACACAATAAGTTTTTTAGGTACATTAACACTTTTTTTTTTTTTTTTTTTTTTTTTTTTTGTGTAGCATCTCTAGACAAATATTAGTCAGTATTTTTCTGCATCTTTACAGTTCAGAGGGTGTGTAACTCAGCAGTCTGCAGTTGACTTTAGGACCTTTTCCATCATTTTTCTGTTGTGATTTAGAACCTGCTTTATCATTTGCAAAACTTAATATTTAGTCTATGAGATACAATAAACATGAAAACAGTAAGCCAGGTTGTAAATTTAACAAAAGGAACAAAAAAAGTGAACAAGCTTTCCTTGTAACAGTCTACTAAAATAAGCACAGATTGAAGGACAAGTAATAGCATTAAAAAAAAAAAAGAGTAAATTTATTATTTATAACATACAAATCTGATACAACAAAAATACAGTGTGTATTTCAGACACCTCTTCCAGATCTGAAAAACAATACAGATAAACTCTGCAGGAATATGACTCTCCTATTGATTCCCATAGGGCTTTTCTTCTATGGCACTCACACTGAAATCCAAATCAGAGCTGGCCTGTCTCCTTTTATATACACTGGCACAGTCCGACCTGAAATAATCCAGGTATGGGAGTCTGACCTGTACTGTTTGCTTTTATAAGGTCCATATGTGCCTGTTTGGAAATTCCAGCAGATTGGCAACTCTTCTATATCAAGGTAGAGTTTTATGTATGACCTTTATGTTGCATGATACTCTGGCAGTAGCATTTGCCTGGGAACAGTCCTAATCAGGCCACAGAAATGCTAACATAGCTGGAGGAGTTCATAAGTGTTCTATAAGAGGCATCTCAATGAAATACATCATATAATTAGTGATGCACCTAACCAGAAATATTTCACACATATTTTCCAGTGAAATATGTCCTCCTAAAAGATGATTTTATAAGAAAATAATGTGTTTCCAACCTTAGAAATGTGGTCTTTGCAGGCAGAAGAGTTTTCATATCATAGGCATTTTCCCGAAATTCCATGAAATGTGTGTTTCTCAACGTTTTCAGAAAGTCATTCCTTCTGAGACCATAGAGTTTGTGCACTTTGAAAGGCCAGAGCATAACATCCCATTTCTATGAATATCTGGGCTTCACTTCAATAGAGTTGAAATTTCACTCTGAGACCACAAAGTACCTTTGAAAGAATCATCTGTCGATAACAAAAAGGTAACTGGATGTGTGTAAGTATAAATATTTATTTGTGCATTGCAAGTGTAAGTAGCATGTAATAAAAAAGGAGTCAGTATTAGGAAGCCCATGCTTGTCACACATATTGAACAGCAGGTA